TCACACGGCCTGGACTCTGTCCGCCCGGAAGGCCTCAGGACCGAGGGGGCCGGCAGCTGCATTCTGGCCCAGGTCCCCCCAGCGATGGAGCCACGCCCTCACCCCACGCTCTCTCTACCCCGCAGGAAATCCTCGGTCTCCGCTCCTGACTCCAGGGAGGGCGCCAGGATTGCACGTCCTCCCTCCCCCTCACAGCTGGGCCAGCTCCTCCGTGGCCAGCTCCTCCGTGGCCAGCTGCTGGGTGGCTGGCTCCTCCGTGGCCGGTTCCTCCGTGGCCAGCTGCTGGGTGGCCGGTTCCTCCGTGGCCAGCTGCTGGGTGGCCGGCTCCTCTGTGGCCGGTTCCTCCGTGGCCAGCTCCTCCGTGGCCAGCTGCTGGGTGGCCGGCCTCCCCAAAGGACAGAGCCCGACGCCTCCTCCGCCATGAGGTCCCCAGGCTCATCTGGCCAGAGGGTCCCTGCTGAAGGCGGCAGCGGGGAGGGCGCAATGCGCCTTCTATGGGTCTGTTTGGGCCCGTCAGGGGCCGGCGGGCGGAGAGGACGAGGGCTGGTGAGGATGGAGGGCGGTGAGGACGGAGGGCCGGTAGGACGGTGAGGAGGAGGGCCGGTAGGACAGGGCGGCCCCGCAGAGGCACGCGCCGATTTACGAGCTGTCACCATCCCGCTGCGGACAAACCTTCCTGCCATTCCCTTTCCCCTCCTCACTCCTCGCTTTTTTTCTTCTTTCTTTCTAATAACCTGGCTGCACAGCTCCTCTAAACCGAACCATCTGCACGAGCGCTCAGAGCAGCCATGAAGGCAGGAGGACGGGGCCTCTGGGCCCAGGCCCTTGCCCGGCGTCTGCAGGCGGCGGGGGAAGGGCAGGGTCCCCGGGGTGGGGGTGGGGGTGGGGGTATCGCATCAGGCAGGGCCCTGCTGGGCCTGACGTTGCCTGTGCACAGCGGGGCAGGCCTGAGGGCGGTGGCAGGGACAGCACAGGCTCGGGGCGAGGCGCTGTAATGGGGTGACTGTGTGCATGCACCGGGCTCACGGCTCAGGGTGCCAGGGCCACTGGGCCCTGCCGGCTGAGGACAGAGGAGCCGGGAAACAGCTCACAATGCACAGCCCCTCCCAAGGCGTTAACAATCCAAGCAGCTGACTTGGGAAACTATGAGAAGCCGTATAACAATGTTCTTCTCGCAGCTTTCATCGCTGGCTCCGCGCGCTGTCAGCCACCTAATCACAAACAGAGGACGGGCCGTCTGGCAGCCGAGCCGCTGGTGATCTGCCAGCTGCTCGGGGTCCATCCTGGGCCCGTGTCACTAGGCCAGGGCCAGGGGCTGGGCCCCCTGGAGGGTGAGTGCCACCCAGACACTGCCCTGAGGGCCACGTGCGCATTACTTGGCTGGCATGGCTCAGTGGTTGAGCTTCAATCTATGAACCAGGAGGTCACAGTCAGGGCACAGGCCCGGGTTGCGGGCTCCGTCCCCAGTGGGGGGTGTGCAGGAGGCAGCCAACCAATGATTCTCTCTCATCGTTGATATTTCCATCTCTCTCTCCCTCTCCCTACTTCTCTGAAATCAATGAAAAAATTATATATATATATATATATATATATATATATATATATATATATATATACCAAACCAGTTTAATGTATTTTATTTATTTTGGTGGGAAAGGGGTGGGAAGTGAGAGGTGGAAAGAGGAAGCACCCTGTTTGCTCGGGACTGAGAGGGCCCCAGGCTGCAGGCGGTACCTTCTCAGTCTGGAGAAGTCCCAGGCTGCCCGGGATGAGCGGGGTGGGGATGCCCACCGAGCAGGAAAAGCCAGCACCCAGTGGCAGCATCGGGGTTTGCCCCTCACTCACCGTTATCTGGAGCAGGAATAGATTGGACTATGGGTTGGAGATGAAGTTCAACAGCCTGCAGGCCAGGCAGGCAGTCTGAGAGTGAAGGGGCGGCTGTGAGGGTGCAGGTGCCCGGGGGGGCGGTGGGCAAGCAGACCGGACACGAGGTTCCTTTCTTCACCAGCCCTTCACCGCCAGGTGGGGGTGAGCCCGGCCTGCCAGACATCTGATTTGTAAAAGAAATTTTGGTGGAAACTCCCACATTCTGAAACGTTGGCTCACATATGAAGGACATCCCGCGTGGGCCACACAAACACATCTGCTGCCACAGTGGCTGCTGGTTTGCCGCCTCTTTTAAAAAATATATATTTTATTGATTTTTTTTACAGAGAGAAAGGGAGAGAGTTAGAAATATCGACGAGAAGGAAACATCGATCAGCTGCCTCCTGCACACCTCCCGCAGAGGATGTGCCCACAAACAAGATATATGCCCTTGACCAGGAATCGAACCCGGGACCCCTCAGTCCACAGGCTGATGCTCTATCCACTGACCCAAACCGGTCAGGGCTGGTTTGCCACCTCTTGACTATATGAGTTCCAAGTTCCCCATCCGTTCCCACCGTCAATGATTTTGCAAACTCCCGCCAACCCGCCCCTGAGCCATTTGGAAATTAATTACATGGTTTACTCTCATGAAGAATAAGCAAATATATACACTGAGAGGCCAGATTATGATGATCTCTGAATGCATTATAATCTGGCTACTCAGTGTATATCCTATATAATAAAAGGCTAATATGCAAATTGTCCCCTCGACCAGGAGTTCCACCAGCAGGCAGGCCAGCCAACTGCTCAGGTCCCTTTTCTCTGGCCAGGCTGGCCAGACCTCACCCATGCATGAATTCATGCACCAGGCCTCACACATACACACACACACACACACACACACACACACACACACTGAGTGGTCAGATTATTACGCGTTCAGAGATCATAATAATCTGGCCACTTAGTGTATATGTTTGAAAAGGTAATTTCAGGCACTTAATTCTAAGAAGCAATTTCTGCAGAGTGTTCCAAGCCTGTATTTTATCCATTTATTCAGGTGCTGCAGATGTAAAACTTTTTAGATGTCTGTTATGACCTGGGTGAACCTTGAAAACATTACACTGAGTGAAAGAAGCCAGACCTGGAAGGCCTCCTGTCGGATGAATCCATTAATATGAAATGTCCAGAGTAGGCAAATTCATAGAGACAGAAAGTAGATTAGCGGCTGCCAGGGACTAGGGGAGGGAGGGTGGGCCCATTAGGCCAGAGTCTCTTTTCAGGGTGAAGAAAATGTTCTGAAATTTGATAGTGTTGATGGCCAACTTGTGAATATTCCAGAAACCACTGAAGAGTACGCTTTAAGATGGGAACTTTAAAATGGCATGTGACTTATATACCTCAATTTTTGTTTCGTTTCTTCTTTTTTTTTCTTTCTTTTTACTTATATCTCAATTTTAAACTAGCTGTTTGAGGTGTCAGTTCTTCCCACATTGATTTATAGAGTCTATGCAATCCCAGTCAAAATGTCAGCAGGCTTCTTTTTTGGATAGAAATCGACAAAGTGATTCTGAAATAACAGGAGTGCAAAGGACACAGACTAGCCCACGAGCGTTGGAAACGAAAAGCCAAGGAGGAGGCGGTCTCTCACACCCCGATTTCAGGGCTTGCAAAGCTACGTGACAGAGACAGGGTGGCGCTGGTGTGAGAAAGGCAAACAGATCGAGGGGACGGAACAGGGAGCCCAGAAATAGGCCCACACAGATACGGACGACAGATTTCCAACAAAGGTGCAAGGTGAGTCAGTGGAAAAAAGAGTGGTCATTTCAACCAATGTTCTGGAACAACTGAACACACACACACACACACAACACACACAACACAGCCCCCCCCCCCACACACACAAAAAGAGGACCTTGATCCATACTTGCATCATATAAAAATATCAACCCCAAGTAGACATCAATGGAAAACCAAATCATATAGAACCCTTAGGAGATAACCCAGGAGAGAGCCTTTCACATTGGTTCAGGCACTGACTTCCCAGAAATGGCACCGTGAGCACAGTCCACAAAAGGACAAATGGGTAGAAACTGGACCTAATTCAGGTGAAAAACTGTTAAGAGACCGAAGACACAGTCTGTTTAAAATATTTAAAAAACATATATATAATAAAGGAGTTGTATTCAAAATACACAAAGAACTCTGCAAAGTTAGTTATAAGAAAACCTATTTAATAGATTTTAAAATATATCCTATGTAATCCAAGCCTAATATGCGAAGTGTCTGACCATCTGTTTGACTGTTCAATCAGTTGCTGTGACATGCATTGACCACCAGGGAGAAGATGCTCCAACCAATAGGTTAGCTTGCTGCTGGGGTCCAGGCTATCGGGACTGGGTAAGACAGGTTGGACATGCCTTGGAGCCCTCCCGTGGTCACTCCCCAACCTTGATCATGCACCAGTGGGGTCCCTCGGCTTGGCCTGTGCCCTCTTGCAATCTGGGACCCCTTGGGGGATGTCGGAGAGCCGGTTCAGCCCGATCCCGGCAGGCTAAGCCGAGGGACCCTACCAGTGCACAAATCCATGCACTGGGCCTCTAGTATATATTGTACTATATAATATTGATTTCAGAGAGGAAGGGAGAGGGAGAGAGAGATAGAAACATCAATGATGAGACTTATCAATCAGCTGCCTCCGGCACGCCCCCTACTGGGATTGATCTGGCAATCTGGACATGTGCCCTGACTGGGAATTGAACCATGATCTCCTGGTTCATGGGTCAACTCTAAACCACAATGACCTGGCAAGAAAACCCATTAAAAAAAAAATAGCCCAAATATTTGAACAGATAAACAGATGCTTGTTTTGTTTAATAAGCTATACGTGCCTTTATTGATGGCCCATACACATATGAGAAAATGCTTTATTAGTCACTGGGGAAATGCACATGGAAACCTCGCTTCGATATTGCTGCACAGCTGTCAGAGCGATTGAATGAGGACAGCTGACCATGCCACATGCCGGCAGAGATGTGGAGCAGCTGGAGCGCTCACGTGTCGCTGATGGGGTGAAAGCAGTACGGCCACTTTGGAAACCAGTTTAGCAGCTTTTATGGCAGTTAAATGTGGTGCTCTCTTTGGCAGCACACACGCTAACATTGGAATGATGCAGAGAAGATTGGCGTGGCCCCACGCAAGAATGACACACACATTCGTGAAGCGTTCATATTAAAAAAAAAAAAATTAGACACACAACGGCCATATGACCCGGCCACTCTACTCCTAACATTTACCCTAAAGAAAAGGAAATATATATTCACACAAGGATTTGCCTACACATGTTCATAGGAACATTACTTATAATAAAGCAAAAACTGGAAAAACCCCAAATGCCCACCAACAGATGAATGGGTAAATAGATTGTGGTATATCCATACAATGGAAAGTCACTCAACAAGAAAAATGAATGGACGGTTGCTTGGTGCAATAGCATGTACACCTCAAACAGCTGAGTTCATGCTAACTTGTTATGGCAGCAAAACAAATACCCCACCCCTCCTCAGAGAGGAGTTCCCCGCCACCTATCTGAAGCAGCCCCCACCTTCCACCTGTGCTGTTCTCTCAGTCCCTCCGCGGCCTGCAAACAACGATTCTGTCCATCTCGTCTGACTCTCCCGTCCTAGAACTTGACCTGTGAAGGCAGAGACAGGGCTGCTCTGATTCACCTGTGGGTCTGAGTACCTGCCAAAGGCACTGCCCCTGCCCCTGCCCCTGCCCCTGCCCTGCCCAGTGACTGTCATTGGATGGATGTGTGGTTCCTGAAGACTGCTCCTGCTGCCGGCCAAGGGGAGTCATGTGAACCCCTGCTCCCTTCCACCTGAGGATACATGTGCCAATGTAATTAGGAGACTTTTCAGGGGCCCTAAGAGCTGGTCGGTCCTTTTTTGCCGAAACCAGAGCATCGTCCCTGTTTTTTCCAGGAAGATTCTAAACAAGCACTGCAGTGAAATCGCAGTTTCAGCTGAGAAAGTGGGCTAGCCAGGAAATTAGGAATAATAACCTTTAACATCCAGTTCTGTTGCACCTTCGTTGAGAAGTCTCCTACTCACACTAGCATGTTACAGACGCCTCCTCAGGTGGAAGGGAGGGCACCTGACGCCCCTCGGCCGCAGCAGGAGCGGTCTTCAGAGACCACACACCCACAGCCCAGGCATGGGCCGTGACCGGGAACCGAACCAGCGACCTCTTGGTTCCTGAGTCGATGCTCAGCCACTGAGCTACACCGGCCAGGCAGACACAAGGACATTTTTACATTTGAGCATGGCTGCTCTTGCACCTTCCGAGAAAGAAATCGATCTAAAGTTTGGCGTCTTAAGACCAGAGAGCATACGCAGCCTTCAGATCTTCCCTGGTGGAACTAGTTATGTGGTAAAGGAACCTCCGAATTTCTTTCTTGGGGCCTCCCGAGGGGCCTTCTGAGAGCCCGGATGAAGGCCCATGAGCCCCCCGCCCCCATCCCCGCAGGAGGGGGCGTGGTCTGCCGCCCACAGGTGTCAGGGCTCATCAGAGCTCTTCTTGCCGATTCCACCATCTGGCTGATCCCTCCGAGGAATTTCAGACGCTGGGAGGAGCCCACCACATGAACCGCACAGATGGTGGGAGAGACATTCCTGCTGGGTCCCCAGGGACCCTGGTTCCCTCCGCAGACGCAGACGTGACTTGGGGGGTATCGATCGTCTGCCCTGGATGGGGTGTCCGCGCGGCCGTGGCGACAGCAGGCGTGGACAGCGGAGCCTCGGAGCGTCCAGAACCCGCTCCTGCAGCTTCTCGGCTCCCGTCCGGGCGGAAAGGACAGAAGCTCCTCCTCCTCTGGCCTTGCACACGCTTCTTTGCTTGGTGCAGAGGCGAGGCCTGGTGCTGCGTGTTCTGAGACCTGCCCTCTCGCACACATGTGGCACATGTTTGTATCTTCCTGGGACTTTCTATAATCATGTCTGGCAAACACATTAAAAAATATATATATTTTATTGATTTTTACAGAGAGGAAGGGATAGGGACAGAGAGCTAGAAACATCGATGAGAGAGAAACATGGATCAGCTGCCTCCTGCACACCTCCTACCAGGGATGTGCCTACCACCAATGCACATGCACTTGACTGGAAACAAACCTGGGACCCTTCAGTCCGAAAGCCGACGCTCCACCCACTGAGCCAAACAAGTCAGGGCTGACAAATACATTTATTTATTTATTTTTTTGTTCTCACCCAAGGACATGCTGAGAGAGAGAGAGAGAGAGAGAGAGAGAGAGAGAGAGAGAGCGAGAGAAACCCATCAGTTGCCTTCCGTATGCTCCCTGACTGGGAACTGAACCCCCAATCTTCCTGCAGGGCAATGGTTTCCTTCCCTGAGACCTGTGGGCAGCACCTGGGACCACAGAGCCGGAGCCCGCACAGCCGTCCGGCTCTCCATGATTCCAGCCTGCACTGGTCTGTGCCTCTCCCACTGGGATCAAATCCCCACCCCCCATCCCCTGCTTCCTTGGCCCCGATCTGCACAGATCCTCCCGGATGGACTGCACCAGCTCCAGGTTGGCTGAAGTGGCCCCAAAGGGCCTCACGTGAAGCCACTGGTCTGGGGCTGGCACGGAGGCTGGAGGACGTTAGTGATGGAGGCGGAGGCGGAGGCTGCCGGCCTGCCGAGGCCCAGGCCAGGTGCTCTGGCCCGTGCTCACCAGAGGGCGCCACACTCCTCCTTTGTGGCCACCCTGGTCTCGCCACCCGGGTTCAAAGCCTCAGGCTGGACGCTCACCGTCACCCACTTCACCAGCGGCTGGTGGGCATCGCCGTGCCCCCCCGGGGACCTGGCGATTTCTCGAGAGAACACCACAGCCCAGACCGCAGATCTTGGTGAAAAAACCTGTTTTTTGGGTTGAATAGCCACAGGCGCTCCCACTCCCCTTTAACTCCAGAGCCACCCCCTTTCCGAGGGCAGCACCCACCCTCCTCGGGGTCCTGAGGGGTAAAGAGGTGCTGAGACGGCGGGTGTGGCCACGGGGCCTGGCCCTAACGCCGACGGGACAGACCCTGCTGGTCCTGGCGCAGCTGCTCGGCCAGGACACCGGCCGGACGGTGCCCTTTCTCGGGGCCGCCGGTCAGATACGGACACCGGCGGGAAGCTCTGGGCCATGCGGGCGCTGGGCAGTGGCTCTGCCCGCAGGCCGGGAGGTATGTCCCCCTCTCACTGTCAGGGGGCCCCACGGGGGAAACCTGCTCAGATATTTGGGGTGCCCAGGCCAGGAATCCTGAGGGGGTGAGAGGGGAAGCCACCCCTTGGAAAGGGATCCCAGGGCAAGGGGAGGAGGGGGTATGCCATAAATGGTGCATGTGTACCCAGTGTGAGTCACCAGGATGCAAATCGGGGTGATACCCTCCCCCCCCAATGCCACAGGGGGCACGGCTTACACTAGAGCACATGTGTCAAACACAAGGCCCACGGGCCAAATCCGTCCCGCCAGGCCTTGCAATGTGGCCCGCACCGCGCTGTCATCACTGCACTCCGCTGCGTTTCCATCACAATGACAGTTTATGACTGTTCAGTAAACCATTCGGCCCGCGATTTAGGCTGGATTTTAGATTTTGGCCCCTTCTCTGATTGAGTTCGACACCCCTACACTAGAGTCTACGCCGGCCTCGCCTGTGGGCCTGTGGTTCAGTCTCGCCTGTGGGCCTGATGTCCAGTCTCGCCTCGCCTCCTCCGTCCAGGGACGCGTTCACCAGGGACAGACTCCGAGCCTCCCAGCCCCACCTCGCTGACGGTACGGGCAGCCCTCCCACTGCCCACTCCTCTCCCGGGCGCCGGGACCTGGGAGGGTGGCCGAGGCTCACGGTCCCCGGGCCACGCCTGGAGGGGCTGGGGCCTGGGTCCCAGCAGCAGCTCCTGTTCCGCTGGGGCCTCCCCGGGGGCCTGTGCTCTGGCCACCGCTGACCCGGGGGACCTGACCTGTGAACCCCGGCTCCTCTGCTGGTGTAGGTGAGTGTCTGCCCTTCGACATGTTCACGATGGAGGTTCCATGTGGAGATGGGAGGGGGGGTGGTGCAGAGAGAGAAATGACGCTCAGGCTCGTTCTCAGGGAGAAGGGAGAAGTCAGAGCTCGGCTGGTCCTCTGTCACGGTCAGGCCGGCCATGGAAGGGGCGGCGGCCGGGATGACCCCCACGTCGGGGCTTCCCGGGGCCAGTCCCGGCCTTTCCTGTTTCACGGGAAGACTGACTGCATGTTTCCGAGCCCTCGTTTTGCCAAGTAAGAGCTTGAAGGACATCAGCCACATACTATTCTAATCATTTCCCCAAAAGAAAGCTCTTCCCACGGAATTACTTCATCTCCCAGCAAATGACCAACGGGTGGCCTTTCGAAGGACCGCGCTTAGTTTATAAACCCTCCCGGCAGCGGACCTGTTCCCTCCAGGGCGCTGCTGGCTCGTGGCTGAGCTCTCAGCCCCGCAGACCTGGGCCTCTCTCCCCTCCTCCCTCCTCCGCCTCGGCCCTCAGCCTCCGTGGGACTGATGTCGCTCATTCACCGGCCACTTCACTGTAGCCTTTCTTCTTTTATAAAGAGAGGCCGGTGCACAAATTCGTGCATGGGTGGGGTCGGGCTGGCCACCTTGATTGCTGCCGATTCGCTGGGCCAGCCGGGGGGAGGGGCCACGGGAAGTTGTCTGGCTGGCCCGCCCCCTGGTCAAGCTCACAGTCAAACTCCTGGTCAAAGGGACAATTTGCATATTAGCCTTTTATTATATAGGATTTTTATTGATTTCAGAGAAGAAGGGAGAGAGAGAGAGAAACATTAGTGATGAGAGAGAATCATTAATCGGCGGCCTCTTGCACACCCCACACTGAGGATTAAGTCCGCAACCTGTGCATATGCCCTGACTGGGAATTGAACCATGCCCTCCTGGTTCATAGGTCAACGCTCAACCACTGAGCCACACTGGCTGGGCCAGTGATACCTGTTGAAGATGGTGAGGCAGACTTCATTCAGCGGGCGGGGGCGTGGCGGGAGCTGCAGAGAGACTCACTCAGGGTCTTGCAGGGAGGGAGGGGGATTGGACCCAGCTCCCCACACAGCGTGGGCCTGGAGAGCCAAGGGGCCGGGAGGGCCAGTGGCTGGAAAATGACTGAGAGAAAACATCAGGGGTCGAGGCTCCTGCCTAAAGCGGCCTCGCGGGTCCTTGGGGAAG